TATCTTAAATTGATTCTTTTCACCACGAGTAATGATCTGTGGGACGATTTTACGAAACGATTTTGAGGGATAACAAATGAAGCAATCCTAATAACAATTATCAATTTAATCTTACTTTCACTTATCGTCTCCAAAATCGACCCGTAAAATCATCCAGCAAATCGTTACTCTTTTGGCCACTAGCTTTTGCACCAGATTTCGAATCCAGAGAAGGAATGTAATCTTGTGGACGCTTATGTTTGCCCTGACGTTTCTTGAACAGTTTATGAGGTATGCTCTGACGTCCGTAAATGACGGATTACGTAATCCAATGCGTAAGCAAAAAGTATACTTGTTTTTTCTTTTGGGATAACTGTCTTGTAGCTACTGGTTAGTGAACTAACGTCAAATATAACGGAAAACATCCCCACAGACCACGGGCCATGGCAAAATTCCCCCCTTAAACCCCCAAACTTAGCTCAAATTAACACATAAGCCCCTGAATTAAAAATAATACAACTAAGCCGTCAAAACTCCTTAAATGATATAAATGAGCCCTCAAAATCCTTAAAGGATATAAATCAGTTCTCATTGCTAATTAACAACCCAACACATGTAATCTTACATTGCGTACTATATATTTTCCTTTGCTTGGTCTTACTTTTTCAAGTGGATGTTAAAGTGAATAAAAGGATGATCCTTAAGCTGTAAAAATCTTGTCGAAATGACTTGTGTAACCTTTTTTTTTTTATTTAGTGTTCACAAATTACATAGATTATTTTGACAAAATTTTCATTAAGTAAGAAATCTTTTAATTTATATTAGTATTCATGAAAAAAGTGAGACTAAACAAGAAAAAAAAACAAATTACGTGAGATCAAATGTGTTGGGTTATTAATGATAAGAGCTATTTTACATCTTTAGACGGGTTTGAGGCATTATTAGCAGAGTTTAAAGGCTTATTTGTACAGTTTTTAGTTTATGTGCTCACATGTTAATTTGGTGTGAGTTTGAGGGCTTAAGAGGGGGGTGGGCTTTGCCAAAAGTAAAAACAGAGGAAAATATGGAACGCAACTAGCCTCCTATTTATGCTGGGGCTCAGAGGCGCCAAACCCTGCAGTGAGAGGTGGAGGTTAAGTAAAAATGGCGGACTCCAGTGATCGTAAAGCCGTAGTGGGTAACAAGCAGGTGATATTCATGGATTTTGTTTCCGGTTTTCCAAAAGAATCGAGCATGTACGTGACTACTGGTACTGTAAAACTAAAGCTACCACAAGGTTGCAGAGGAGTTCTTCTGAAGAACCTTTACTTATCCTGCGACACTTATATGCGAATACTGATGAAACCCCATAATGGGAGTTCTGGTGATGCCTTCAATCCCTACGCCCCTGGTTGTGTAAGTCCTCTTTCTCTCCTATTAAATTGAGTTTTTGGTCTAAAGAAACGAAACAAATTAAGATACAATTATTATACTTTTTAATGATTAATTTACATTAAAATAATAAAGTTAATTTTTTTCTACTTTATCAATCATTCATTGCGTAAATTAAGGACTAAAGATGCAATAATTACATTGATGACTTGTATTTTAAAAGCCAAATTAGAGAACTCTATTGGATTCTCTTTTTCTCTATCATTATTTATGTTTTATAGTGGTAGAATTATTTGTGCTATTACAAGTTTAAAATTCGATTCTGACCTCTATATATCTAAAAAAAAGGTTATTTTTAATTATGCATTAAAATATGTACAATGAAACCATGAAAAAATTCACTTTAATTTTATATCATCATAATTAATATTATTTCATACAACTCACATTTTTATATATTTAACCTTTAATCATAACACATAACACCAATCAAAATGAATTCACTTAAATAACGCATTCTTAAAAATTAAAGTTATATTATTTTATTGAATTCATATTTTCGATATTTAAATAAAAAAATTTGAACAGAATAAATTTGCAAAAAATATATCCCAGCAGTTGGATTTTAAATTCAGCAGCATTTTAAAGAAGTGGCAGGCGCATTAATGTCTATGCTAGGTCAAAAATTTTTCCCCAAAATTTGACCCCTTTTTGGGGCAAAATAATTCAACCAAGTTCGTCTTTTCTATAAGAGAACACCTTATAATGGTTAAGTGTTATATCTCTTATGATTGTTGGTTAATGCAGTATGAAATCCAAATGTGCCAATTACCTTCTGCTCCTTTTATGGAAAAAAATGGTTGAACTTGCAGCCAATTTATGGGTTTGGAGTAGCTAAAGTCTTGGATTCAGGCCACCCAGACTTCAGGAAAGGGGACTTAGTTTGGGGAATAACTACATGGGAAGAGTACTCTGTCATCACAGCACCTGAAATCCTCTTCAAAATTCAGCATACTGATGTACCCCTTTCCTACTATGCAGGAATTCTTGGCAAGTACTAAACATGTGACAAATTTGATATGTTGTGTCAAAAGCACTAAACATATCTCTAGATCAACAATTCTGCAATTCTAATAATGTGCCATTTTATTAGTGTTTAACTCTCATAGCAACTATGTTTCTTCTTCATTTTCCTCTTAATAATAGGTATGGCCGGTATGACTGCTTTTATCGGGTTCTATGAGATTTGTTCTCCTAAGAAAGGAGAATATGTCTATGTCTCCGCTGCACTGGGTGCAATTGGTCAGCTTGTTGGCCAATTTGCAAAGTTGACGGGCTGCTATGTTGTTGGAAGTGCTGGAAGTAAAGAAAAGGTGAGATGAAGATCAGGGAACTGAATTAATGAGCAGTTCAGTTCAGTATAAAGCTGACATATCCACTCATCTTCATTTTTTTTTATCTGAACTAAGGTTGATTTGTTGAAAAACAAGTTCGGATTTGATGAGGCTTTTAACTACAAGGAAGAGCACGATTTGAATGCCGCCCTAAAAAGGTCAGTACATAAAATCTGCATGGCTAACACTTTATATAAGTTTATAGTCAAGGCTTTTTTCTACGTTTTCATGTACAAAGTTATCGCGTTAAATGGGTCATTTATATTATATGGTATTTGATCATATCACTGTCTCCAGACACTTCCCTGAAGGCATTGATATTTACTTCGATAACGTTGGGGGCAAAATGCTAGATGCTGTACTTCTCAACATGCGAGTTCATGGCCGCATTGCTGCATGTGGGATGATCTCACAATACAATGCTGATAAGCCTGAAGGCGTAAGTAATTTGATGAATATCGTGTATAAGAGTGTCCGCATGGAAGGATTCACTGCCATGGATCACTTACAGCAGTACTCCAAGTTCCTGGGCACAATTATCCCTTACATCAAGGAAGGAAAGATTGCATATGCAGAGGATATTGCTGAAGGTCTGGAGAATGGTCCTTCTGCTCTGCTAGGACTCTTCCATGGCCGGAGTATTGGGAAACAGATTATTGTAGTAGCACGGGCGTAATCCGGCCTTGTAATGAAATCATTACGTGTCATTGTGTTGTGGGTTATTTAGTCCTCCTTTCATTGGAGTCCAATTATGTATAGTTCCAGTCTGAATATTAATGATTTTCTGTATTCCCAAGGCATGCTACTTGAAGGATATCAAAGCTATTATAGTAATAGTTGTGTACATCGTATTATATGCCTGTGCTGTTTGGCAGTAGCAACTTATAAACATCTGCACTCTTTGCAACCATAAAAGTGGTCAAAATTAATGCAGGTGATTGTAATTGATGATCCACTGGCCTGTCTATGTCGTTGGCATGTTCCAACAAATTCTATTTTTGCAAAAGACAATTACAACTAAAATACCACAGACGAGAACAGAAAGAACCATACGTCATTCAATCAATAGGACTAACCATTATGTCGAGTTCAAGTTCCAGGACAACAGTAGGCCAAGAAATCAGAGGGCGCCTTGGATGAACTGTAATTATTAGACATGAGACTCGGGACATTATTGCAAGGATACAAATAAGACCAAATCACTCTCGAGAAACTACAACTACTTGTTTTCCAACGTTGCGACCACTAAAAAGGCCTACTAATGCAGCAGGAGCGCGCTCAAGACCCTCAGCTATGTCTTCAACATAAGTTATATTCCCTTGTTTAATGTCAGGTAATACTGCATCCACGAACTTGAAATATTGTGGAAAGTAATCTGTGACCACAAATGCCTCCATGCGGACCCGCTTATAAATCATATGCGTTAGATTAGTCACACCTTCAGGCTGCTCTAGATTGTATTGTGAGATCATACCGCACACAGCAATGCGTCCATGCAACCTCATGTTTAGAAGCACTGCATCAAGCATTTTGCCTCCGACATTCTCAAAGTAGATGTCAATACCTTCAGGGCAGTACCTATAAAGAGAAAACGGCAAAAACATCGGCAATAACAGTGTCACAGAACTTGTACGCTTACAGTTAGTATGCATTATCTACAAAAGAAGGAAAAGATAAAGAATGCAACTTTGCCAATTTGAACCCAATATGTGAAAGAAAGTATAGTTACATGTTCTCATAAAGACTAACACCGGGTCATTCACATTGGTTCATCAATCAGAATGAGAAAGGAAACTATACAGAACAAAAATCATGGAAGAGAATTAAAAGAGACAATATGAAACTAAAATCTCATGGGACATTTAGATCTTCGAAGCTGAAGAGAAATATTCTACATTTTCTTGGAAATTGTTGCACTGACCTTTTCAAAGCAGCATTGAGGTCTTTCTCTTCTTTATAATTAAAAGCCTCATCAAAACCAAATTTATTCTTCAGCAGATCCACCTTATCAAAATGCAGAAACAAAAGCAAAGTAAGGTTAATTTGTAACCAAGTGGGGCATTAAAGTGGTTGAATGTTGGGCTTGATCACCATATCAGAAAGCAAAAAAAAAAAAAAAAATGAGAGTACATGTTTGGTGCTCATTCAAGGATCAATCCACTAACAGATAGAAGTGAGAATGCACAATATAGCAACTCTATTGTAAAAGTTTCATTTTATATCTTTTCTTCCATGGCCTTGTATCATCTTATATGTGCATAGAGACAGTCTAATACATGGCATAGTTAAAATTTTAGTTTGCATCCCTTAGATTAAAGCTGACAAATGTCCTAAAATGAAGTATAACAGCTAGAAGTAGCAAACCTTTTCTTTGCTTCCAGCACTTCCAACTACATAACAACCAGCTGACTTAGCAAACTGCCCAACGAGCTGACCAACTGCACCAGATGCTGCTGAAATATATACATATTCTCCTTTCTTAGGAGAACAAACGTCATACAGACCAACATAGGCAGTGAGACCAGGCATACCTATTAGAAAGTAGATCACTATTAGAAGAAGAATTTGTTTAACGAAATAATGCTAACACAAGAAAGTAGACCTAATTAGATAATGTTGTATCCATGAGCATATCTGACCGTTTAAACATGTGCAATCAACCAATTCTCTCCAAAAGTAAAATTCCATTAAACAGAAATTGTGATAAAATCTGAACTCTGAGCTATAGCGCAAGCTGCTTAATTACCTAGAATTCCAGTGTAATAGGAAAGTGGCACATCAGTATCGGGAATTTTGAAGAGTACTTGAGGTGCAGCAAGGAGAGTATACTCTTCCCACCCAGTAAAGCCCCAAACGAAGTCACCCTTTTTGTAGTCAGGATGCCTTGAGTCCACAACTCTGGACACTCCAAACCCAAGTATTGGCTTCAAGTTTTGACCCAATGAAAACAAGTCGAGAAATCAGAGATTTGATCCCATATAAGAGCAGAATCAATAAAAAGGCAAACAGATTTGAATCATTTTTCTTCCTTTCTCTCTTTAAAAAGGAAAAAGAAAGAATCCAGTGACCAAAAGAAGCAACAGAAAGAGATTATTATACTTTCAGAAATGTTTGACTTAATACCCTCGTACCATTTACCCTGCAACCAACTACAAAATCCTAACTATTAGTAAATGAGATAACACTCTTATAATTTAATTATTTATATTTTATAATATATTCAAACTTTAAAATAGAAGACTACGATTTTTATCTAGTGAGAACAATATATACTCGTGTATAACTAAAATTTTTATTTGCAAATACAGGGTTTGCTAGCAGCAGGCACTGACACATCGGCAGGTACAATGGAGTGGGCAATGTCACTTCTTGTGAACAATCCGGAAGCACTGAAGAAGGCTCAGGAG